TTTTAAAACAATTTTCAAAGAAAAGTTTATTATACTTTTTTCTCACTATACAGTAACCATATGTTTTGGAAATTAAGTTTAAACGGTACATTGTGATTTAAGTGACTTTTATGCGGCTGAATTTTTTTTTGTTTAATCAGCATGTTTCAAAATCGTTGCATACGAATTTTTGATCAGATTTTAAAATTAATTAAAGCGGTTTCTTGTGTTTAACCATCCATAGTCACACAACCACTGCATCTGCACTGTAACAAACACTATTTTTATTTACAAATTTACAATATTTTCTACAAAGAAAAACTAACATTTTGAAAATCTCCAATAGTGATAGAATTTCTACACAGAAAATCCAATCGGTGCAGGTGTTTCGAAATTCTGAAAATTGGCAATTTTAACAAAATAACCAAGTAATAACTTTTCGAAACGAACTTTCCATTTCAGGAAAGTGGAACATAAAAAATGCATAAAATATTTTGTCAAATACAGGCATTATCCTTATGTTTGCTTTGTGACAAACAACATAATTATTTCGATTATTTTGTTTTAAGTCTGCAAAATATTGAGTTCTTTATTTGTTCGCCAAAAATGTTGTTATTTATATTAACACATTATGAGCGGGTCGGGTACTAGTACCCGCTGCGCGCATTGTCGCTTAAAAGCGGTACAGGTATTAGTACCCTTTTAAAATCACCACTTTTAAATGACACAAGCTAAAAAATATGTTTAATATAATTATACACAAAGGTCTTATAATAATTTCTTTCAGCCTTTCATTTCGTTTTTACCCATAACGACACAAGCGTTTAAAATGAACAATTCATAATGTGTTTTTTTATTCTTATATTTTTAATTATTGTTCTGCGTATATAACATTATCTAAATATTTTTGAAATGTACATTTCATTATGTGTTTTTCTTATTTCGTCAACTTTCTTTATTCTTATATTTTTATAAAAACAAGTAATAAAATCCCCCAGAATTTCATAAAATTACGCGAATTTTAGCAATCCACCTAAAACTAACCTACAAAATTGGAAACTAATCGTATTACAGGCAATATGGATGTAGAAATTTATTCTAGATATTTTTTTATTCTTATATTTTTTACAAAAACTTGTTATTTTTTGAGTAATAGGGCCCTCAAACTTTTTATGTACCCGGATGTATACATTGTATATTCGCCCGCTACGCAACATTGTTGTCCAGGCCGCTCGCTCATAATGTGTTCGGAAATTTTATGAAAAATTGTGTTTTGGCTAAATATTTTTAGGAAATATATATATTGGAAATGATTCTCTTCCGTTACGTAACAGATTAGAGTTAGAATACTAGAAATATTACTTTGTATCCAAAGACGTCCGCTATCCTTTTTTTTCCAAATTTAAGAAATTATTTCGACACTATTCCCAATTTGGGATAATATGAAATGGTCACTTTAAAAAAACGCCAATGACTTATTTTTATGAAAAATTCATATTTTATTTAATGACAACTTTAATTTTTTTTGCTTAAATTTCTCATTATTATTTTTAATTTTAATTTTTAATGTTATAGTGAATGAAAATTATAGAAATTCTCCTGTACGCATATTATACTTTTTTTTTGTACAAAAAGTCAAATTACACCCACATACATTCGTGTGTACATACGTTTTAAATAATATGTATAATCTGTATGTAAATAATTAGGCGGATATTCAAAAGTTTATTCTGCAAGTTTTAATTTTTTTCATGAAAATTTAAGCTTCAAGTAAAATGGATTTATTTTTTTTTAATTAAAAAAAAGTTCATGTTGTTCTGCTTTCCTTTTTTACTTTTATTAAAAATTACAATAAAAATGTGAATATAATGGAATCGTTTTTTAAAAAAATTGTGTCAAATTATTTAAAATTTTCAATATGAATTCAATTAATTTAAATTTTTCCCTTTTTTTTGAATAAATTGACAATTAACTTTATTTTTTGTATAAACTGTTGAGCTAGTTAAAAAAAATAAAATTGTTTGGAACTGATTTTAAACTTTTCAAAGTAGTAATTAAATTTTTGTTGTTAAAAAAAATATATGAAATAATTTCGTAAATCCAAAACTTCTCTATTATACATATATAATTAACTGCAAATTCAAATTTATTACTCAATACTCTTATTTTTGATTGAATAGTTTGGGTGAATACTAGATATTGACGTAGTTGTATAGAATAGAGGTGTATAACAAATTCCTATTTGAATTCAAAGTAGAATAAAATTAGCTCAGCAATATTTCCACACTGAGCAATCAAAACCCGGTAAACTTTAACAAAGATGGACAAGAATGTATACCATTTTTACTACTGCGAAAGTATTTGAATAAAACTATTTGTATAATCTTGTAGTCTTCGTTCTTTCGGAAATGGGAAAACAAATATTTCTAAAAAAATATTGAGAAAATGAATTTAGGAAATTGAACCTTTGGTCTATACTAAAAAACTAGATTCTTGCTGTAGTATGAAACTTATTTGACAAAAAAAAATGTATTGCGCAACACCATTTAAACATCTTAATGCCATTCAAAAGTTGAACATGAGACGAAAGTCCTTGTTTGACCAAGAAAATCAGTCTTTTCGAACTTATTTCCTCTAAAAAAAATTTTGTTTCAATTTTAAAGTTTTATTTCAAATTCAATTCAGATAAAAATCTGAAATGAAAGCTTTAATTTAAGCTGAAATGAATGCTTGGGTTTGAAATTTCAGGGCAACTGTGACTGTTGTTAAATAGTAGTGTTTATTAAAGATTGTTATTAGTCTTAAATTTATTTCTTTTTGTTTTTCATACCATTCAATTTTGTAATTTACATTTATGAAAAAGGTTTTTGATCGAAAAAAATTTAAAGGTATCAATAGTTGTGGCCAAGTGATAAGCTTTAAAAATTAAACTTTTAATTTTTACAAAATTCTGCTTTCAATAAAAAGTATAAATACTTTAAATGAAGTTTGAAATGAACTGAAGCTTCTTCAATAAACAATCTCTATACCACAACCATAATTTAAAATGCTTGATTTTCAAAATTAATACCAATTGATTTGAAAGTTTCCCCAAAAAAATAAAGAAAACTTATAAAGGACATTATACAAATGTCTTTTTATATAAATAACCTATAAAGTAAATGATATTTTAGGATATTTTTGAAATTATTTCTAATATTAGCATTTAAAGTGGTAAGTAGTAAGAAAAATAAGTTTAATAAATCTCATCTATCGATTTCGATACTGAAATATAGAATTATATTAAAAATATTGACAGAATTCAATTTCCTTAAGTATACCTATACTATATCATGAGTATACCTTGAATGAAAGGATATCCAAATTGAAAAATAAATTATTATTCATTAAATACTAATCTTATTTCAAAAACCAGAGAAAAACTTCCACATGAATTTTATTTCAGTTTTTTTTCTATGCCTATAATAATGTGTCAATCAAATTTTCCTTCTTATCCTATAAGGTGAATAAATACATGCGAAAGCAGGTGTTTTAATTTTTATTCAATAATGACTTCTGGGATAAAAATTTTGCGTTTTCCCGAAGGGAATGCCATTATATCTATGTATATAAAATATTAATAATGAAATTGAGATCGAAAAAAAAGGATTATCCAATACAAATAAATTAAATAAGTGTTTATGTATATGTTGTTATAATATACATGTGACAAGATATGATCTGAGATGTTAGATAATCCGATTAATAATTGATTATAATCAATATATTATATTTATAATGGTATAAAGTATTGATTAGAACGGTAATCATTAAGGTGATTTCGTTTAAATTGCCCATGGGATTTCATTTTTCCATTTGTTTATCAATAAAATATAAATAAAGCAATTGGTAATATTAACCGATATGGCAATATCGGCTGTTAAGGTGGAAAAATTATTTAAAAATATTTAATATTAAGACTTTTTTTCAGATTATAATAGATTTTGATTGTGCTTTTTTTAGTTATCATTTATTTAATTTAGCTAATGGTCTCATTTTCTTTGATAGTTTTTAGAAAATCTATAAAACTTTGTATGAAATTTGAATGAAAATTGGTAATAACGTTAAAGTATAGATTATTCCATTAACAGTTCTGTTTTCAATTTAGATAACATCCCATCGAAATTGTGGAAAAAGGGAAGATCCATAAGAGTTGAACAGTTTGGATATAATTAATACACAACTAATACGAATTTAACACCCGTAATAATAGGTTTGTTAAATCGGGCAAATTATAATTCTTTTTTAAATATATTTTATAGATCATTTTTTTCCGCACTTCTTTTCGAATTCTTCCAAAATATAAAATAAGACATTCGCTGAACACAGAACTCATTCCGCGTTCTCGTTATTTTTATATAGAAATGTCGATGGTCTACGTAAAGTATTAATTATCATTTGGTATTTAAGAAGCTATATAAGAGATTTAGGCAAATGAGCTTATATAAGAATACAAAGCATTACATCCTAGTAATGGATTCAGTGATGTTTTATTACCAGGGCAATTCGTTCAAATTCAATGCACAATATCTTGGACAACAGCACTAAAATTATTTTTAAAAAAAAAATCCAATTGTATGTACCTGTTCCTGGAACATGATTTTGGAATTTCATGATGTTATGTAAAAAACGGTATGTATAGAAACTTAATATTACATAAACTATTGCAAATATGTTATTTTGTAAAATATGTTTTGAATAACATGAGATGAGGCATTGTTTTTATTTAAAATTTATTAAATACTTAATTATTCATGTGGATATTGGTACAATAGTTCATTTCTCTCATTAACAGTTCATTTCGGTTGCACATATTCAATAAAATAAAAATTTAGAGTAGAACTGTAAAGTGTAAGTTAAACAGGCATTACTTTCTTCTAAACCTGTGACGTAAATTTACACTTGTGACATAAAGTACTAAATTGTACACACCAGGCCATAAAAGTTTCAAAAAATTGTCACTTACTCTTTGTGGTGTTAAAATGTTGGTCAGATTAATTTATTTAACTGTCGCAGGTAGCCAAAGTCAGGTAAAAAGAAATCATGTTATCCTCTTAGCAAATATTGAAACGCTTAGTCAGCTTAAGTGTTAAATTTATAATTAAGACTTTTTCTTACCTGAATATTTTCAATTTTTGTATAAATAGACTGAAATTTGAATTTGTTTTATACAGTTTCAAAATATAAATTGAAGTAAAAACATTTAATTTTTCAAGATGATTTTTAAGAGCACAATTTTAATAATCGTACTTCTTATTTTAAAGCAACAATTTTCTATTTGTAAGGTATTGAAAGTTGAAGTAGCAACAAACAGTGTCGATCATCCTGTTGATACTAAACCACATTATAAATCTTGTGGAGACAATAAATTTTGTGTTCCATTTTATTTATGCAATAATAAAACTGGTAGCATTAACACTGATGGTACAAATTTAATTGATGTAAGATTTGATGGGAATAAACCTTGCTTAGATTATTTGGAGCAATGCTGTTCAATTGATGAAGAAAATGGTGATACTTTAAAATTGGAAGAAACAATTCCATTTAAACAAGGTTGTGGTTATATGAATACCGAAGGGTTACTATTCAAAATAACCGGAAATAAAAATGGTGAAACAGAATATGCAGAATTTCCTTGGATGATTGCCGTATTAAAACAAGAAAAAATTAATAATAAAATTTTGAATATTTATCAATGTGGTGGATCATTAATACATCCATCAGTAATTCTAACCGCTGCCCATTGTGTTGTTAGAAATGAACCAAAAGATTTACTAACACGTGCAGGAGAATGGGATACGCAAACTAAAGATGAATTATTTGAAGAGCAAGATCGCGAAATTAATGAAATTGTAATACATGAACATTTTTCCAGAGGTGGTTTGCATAATAATATTGCACTTTTATTCACATTAGTTCCATTCACATTAAAACCGCATGTAAATACGGTATGTTTGCCATTGCCACATATGAATTTTGATTTCAGTAGATGTTTTGCTACTGGATGGGGCAAAGATGCATTCGGCCAAGAGGGAAAATATCAAGTTATATTAAAGAAAATTGAATTACCAATTATTCCGTTTACAACATGTCAAAGACAATTGAGAAGAACACGACTAGGTAAATTCTTTAGACTTCATGAATCATTTTTATGTGCTGGTGGTGAATTAGGAAAAGATACATGCAGAGGTGATGGTGGTGGTCCATTAACTTGTCCCATTCCTGATTCGAAAGATCGATTTTATCAAGCTGGCATCGTTTCATGGGGAATTGGTTGCGGAGATACGAATCCTGGAGTGTATGCCAATGTTGGATTTTTGCGACTTTGGATCGACAAAATTTTTAATTCTAGAAATTTGGACAAAGGATATTATATACCTGAATTATAAAATTTACTTTAATTAGTCATACAGATTTTTATGTTGTAATTTAATTTTTAGTTATCTAATTTTTTTTCTAAAATATTTTTAAAAATAAACTTTTTTGTGGTTTAAATTAATTCGCTTAGTTTAACTGACTGGCGTATTAAAACTAATTAAGTCTCTTTCAACAATTCCGATAACAAGTACGAATTGAAAAATTTTGTGAAGATCATATAAATTTTTTCGATAGTTGCTACACTATCTAAGTTCTAATCAATCCAAGAACTAATCAAAATCATCAAGTCAATTTCTTTGCAGTAAAATTATTTAGTTGACGTCACTTTTATTTATTTTGTTTTATTAAAAATTGGATCACAACTTAAATTAATTAAAGTGCTTACGTAAAAAATAAATTTACATACATTTATTATTTTTTATTATTTCAAGTTAGGAAACATTTGTGTAGGTACTTCCAAAAATATTTTATATTTTTAGAAAAAAAACCAGAATTATTAGAGTTTTTTGTAATTAAAATTATATGTAGTTAAAATTATATGTATGTATTTTAGACTCAAGTTTTAAATGATGGGAGTTAGCAAAGAAATTCCTTCTCTCAAGAGGACAATTGTGATATAAAGATTACATGTATAATAACTACATAATATGTATATATTCTTGTATGTACGTATTTTTGTTTATTTTAAAATATTAAATATGTAAGATGTATGACATCCTGTAACATAGTCACAAAATGTAAAATTTTTATTATGCTTTTACATTTTGCATAGGTATAGGGGGGAATGTGTTTTTAATGGGTATTTCTCTTAAAGAATGCATGTTTATATTTTGTAATATTTAAATTAATAAAAAGAATTATAAAACAAAAGAAAATTTTTTTTTCTAATGAAAATTTTTATTTGAATATTTACGTTTGAAATGCAATAAAAGTTTTTTTCAAAAAGACTTGTAAAAATTTCATATTACATAAAATTTAATCAATTTAGGGATTTTGTCACAACTAAATCAAATTTTTTGATTTGCATGCTGTTAAAACATGAAAAATTCTTAATTTAAAAAAACATGGAAAGAAGTGGATTTTATGAACTTTTATATTCTAATTTTGGTTTTGCGCACTTGGATACAAAAGAACAATATATAAATTCTTCGAGATTTATGAGTTGCATTTTGAGTTGCAACAGATTTGTAATACGTGAATAATTAAAAATACTTTTATAATACTTTTATTTTAACAAATAATTTGGGTTCAAGAACATGCGCTGGAAATGATCTACTTGGAGCAAGCCATTTAATGCATTCCTCATCGAAAACAACCTGAATATTACGCTTTTTTTGATTCTTACATGCTGGCTTCAAATATTTTACAGTTTTAAATTACAACAAAAGAAAATATTTTCGAGAGAAAAAGCTCTCCCGATATTTTCGATAAAAGAATATTCCAAGTTCATTTTAAAACCAGATAGAGGTTACGAATAAGCGATTATTAATTGGTTTATGAATTTCAATTAGTGACTTCGGTTTTAGATATGTATGTATTATGTAAATTATGAGAATAAAATTGATAACTGGATAGAACAGTTCCAAACTGATGACATTATATTTTTTGTACCAATCCGAACAATTTTCGACCAAACCAAATTCTACCAAAAAATGAATACAATGTTAGTCGAATATTTTTGATGAATTTCTCTGAAAAAAACCTAATTTATTAAGTTTTAAGAATTTTTTATTGAAACTTCAGACACATATTACTTAATGGAAATAATAATAAAAACTCATAAGGAAATCAAATCGAAATTCTATCTATTTTGTCAATCTCAATGTAGTTTGTTCAGATCGATGAATATTTCATTTAGTATAATTTAATCATTTAGCTACGATTAGAGTTTATATTTTTAAATTTGAGAATTTTAGTATTTTCTTGTACTGTATTGAATTTGAGAATAACTAGGGTTGGTTTGTAGTACATAATTTCCTTGTATCGTAAAAAGCACAGATATACATTATATTACATTTAGAATTTTAAAGTTTTAATTTCAATTATGTTTTATAGTGAAATGTGGTGTTTCTACATAAATAGTAATAAATATGAATCTTACCAATGGTTTATAAAATACCAAACTTCATTTGAACAAGTGGCGATAACATGAAGAGCAAGAAGGTGATAAACAATTTCATTTCAAAAAAATAAACTGCTTACTAATTTTATTCTAATAACTGTGAAAATTGTAGGCTTCTACAACATATTTTCTAAGAAAAAAAACAATATTAAAAATTGGCAAGCAATATACATGAACCAACGGACGTACAGAGAGCAAATTTTTTTTATTTATTTTGGAAATGTGCTATGAATATATACAGATAAATAAATAAAACGTGTATTGTTGAGGAAAAAAATATAAGTTAAATTAAAATAATTTGAATAATATAACAATAAAGTTGCTAACTACAAGTTTAAAGTTGCATAAATAGAATAACAAAAAAGAAAGTTCTGTGAATATGTTCTAAACATTTTTTTTTTTTCATTATTTTATTTCATGTTGTAACATATAAAAAAAATTTACAAATTCATAAGTTTTGGTACTTATTTTCTAGTTCTATCGATCTTAGCTCAAGCTGTTTGATCTTCTACTGTTTTAGAATTAATTTGTTTTTTAGTTCAAAATTTATGCTAGCAAAGTTTCTTGAGTAGTACTAATTGTAATTTAATCTTTAATAAATATCTTCAATATTAACATTTACTCATTTACAAATATATAATTTATTCATACATACATATATATGTACATTTTATTGTGCAAATATTTACTTATACATATATCGTAATTCTAGTAATACTATTATAATAATACATCATCAAACCGATTATAAATTTAAATCAAATTTGTTATTAAATATACCTACTATTATATTTTTAATCTCTCCGTCCCCCTCACTCCAAGTATTCACTCATTATTCAACATAGCTATATACATAATTGGAACAAACAATCAATAAATGTTCCATAACTATCATTCCATCATCTCATCAAATTAAAATTAAAGTGATAAACACAAACAATTATGAATGATAAAAACAAAACAAAAATATACCACTGTTTCTCAACAATATCACAGAACAACAGGGTGTAGCAGTTCGAAATGAAAATTCGTATCAATATTTATTAGTTTTAATAGCCATCAAGAATCCTTTTCGTAATAATTTTTTTAAACATACATATATTACCAATAATTTTAATTTCTTGTGGCAATTCATAAAATACTTTTAGGCAGCTATATAAGCAATTATTTTTTTGATTATGAGTCCTGAAAAGAGATAGATAAAAATTAGATTTGTTCCGCGTGTTATGGTTGTGAAGTTGGAAATTTTGCCGTAGCAAAAAATTATGCTTTATTTTGTTATTTATGATTTTAAAAGCAATAATATAGAGCTCACAGATATTTGGAAAACTCAGGTACTTTTCCGTATATAACATACTGGTAGGATATAAAACGGGATAAAAATTAATTATTTTAATTGCTTTTTTTAGCAAAACCTCAACTTTTTTAAGATAAATTTGCGGAGCTCTACTCCAGATTGGATTTAGGTAAGTTACGTTTGATAAAATATAAGATGCATAAATTACAAACAGGGTATTTTTATCGAGAAATTTTCTTAATCTGTTGAGGATAAACACATAAGGGGCCATTTTATTAATTATGCCCCACATGCCAATCCCATCTGAGTCCACTATCAATATGCAGGCCTAAATAATTGTGGTATCTTACTACATCAATATTTGTTGAATTTAGAGCGAAGGTTCTATCATTAAATATCTTATTTTCAAATAGTAGTATCTTGGTTTTTTTAGTATTCATCAGTAACTTGTTCTTAGTAAGCCACTCGTCTATAAGAGTAAGATCACCTAATATAGCTTTTCTAAGGTCAGCCTCATTTTTCTCCGCATATTTTATAACCGCATCATCTGCAAATAGTTGCATAGCTCCACAAAGATCAAGTTGAGTCAGATCATCTATATAAATCTTGCAAAAGATTGGACCCAAAACTGATCCCTGCGGCACTCCCTTAGTTATTATGTCGGGACTGCCCAGATCTTGACTAATTTTTAGACATTGTGTCCTTCGATTTAGGTAGGATTTGAATAAAGAAATTTGTTCATTCGAAAAGCTCAGTACCGAAAGTTTATGAAGTAAAATTTCATGGTCGACGCAATCGAATGCTTTCTGCAAATCAATAAAGACACAGGCAGTAAATTTACCATTGTCCATATTTCTGGTAACAAAGTCGGTTAGAGACAGACAAGCCGCCGTGGTATTGGAGTTCTCCTCGAAACCATACTGATCAGAACTCAGAATTCCATTGCTTCTCAGAAACATGTCGAGCCGATTTTTTATTACTCGTTCAAATACTTTGGAAAAGCTAGATAGTACCGAAATAGGCCTATAATTTGATGGGTTTGTAGAATCTCCGCTCTTGTAGATTGGAGCCACCACAGCCCTTTTTAGGCTGCCAGGAAAGGTATATTCTGCAAAACTTTTGTTAATAAATTTAACTAATATGTGTGCTAATCTGTGTGAAAATTTTTTTATAAATTTTGCCGAAATCCCGTCCATTCCCGTTGCAGATGACAATTTTAGGGAGTCAATTGCGGCATCTACCTCTTCATGGGTAGTTAAATTAAGTTGAAAATTATTATGTATATTACGAGAGAATTTGTTAAGATAGACGTAGTCGATTGCTCCATCAGGTATGTTAAGCTTATTTGTTACAGTCGTAAAAAAGTTATTCATAATGTTACTTATATCCTGTATGTTAGTTATTGTGCTGTCGTTGTAATTAATAACTTTTATTCCGTTTTCAGAAACATTAGGATTTTTATTAAACATAACGGTCTTGTACACAGTCCACATGTTTTTAGGATTGCTTGGGTCTTTGAGAATTTGTTCAGAATAGTATTGTTTTTTTGCAGCGGTAATCAAGGATTTTACTTTATTCCTATATGTTTTAAA